TGCTGGCGATAAGAGTGAATTTCTTGGTGCTTATTACCTCCTTCTCTCTACAAGGATCTTTCTCAAGTTGGGTAAAACCATGGACCAATGCTTTTCTGAAGTATTATTTATTATTATTTGTCAAATCTATTTGCTGCCTATCTTACCGTGGGGCTATTCTGGGAGGCTTACAATAATAAAAAGGAAGAAAATTGAAAAGCTGTGTAAATAGAAGTAAAATAATAGAGCAATAAAATAAGTAATGACAAAGAACCACAATGAGATTACATACATCAGTTTGGTTACTAAAAAGATGGATGAGTGCAGAGAGCAAGGAGGGGGAGGGGGAGTCTGCCATCAATCTAGCAGCCCTCTCCATGTGGAACTCCCCATTTAGTCCCTAGACCAACCGGCAGAGCCAGGTCTTCAGACCCTTATGGCAGGAAAGGAGGGAGAGGGCAGATCTTATCTCAGGGTAAGATGTTCCAAAGAGGGATGCTGCAGCAGAGAAGGGTCTTCTTCTGAATTCATATAGTCAGAGTTCTTTGACAGACAAAATCCAAAATAGGCCTTCTCCGCTGGCATGAATAGGATCAGCTTGTCCTATCAGGATGAGGCAGTTCATCAGGTAGCCTAAAGGTCATGGCCAACACCTTGAACTGCTCTCAGAAGCAGACCGGTAGCCAGTGAAGTTTGCATAGCAGAGGTGTAATATGAGCCATTCTAGAGGCCCCAAAGACTGCTCTTGCTGCTGCACATTGCACCAGCTGAAGCTTCCGAATGGATTTCTAGGGTGGTCCTATGTAGAGTGCATTGCAGTAGTCCAAGCAAAAGATGACCAGGGCTTGAATAACTGAATATGGAATAACAGAGTTAGAAGGGATCTTGGAGATCTTGGAGGTCTTCTAGTCCAGGAAACCCTATACCATTTCAGACAAATTGTTGTCCAATCTCTTTTTCAAAACTTCCAGTATTGGAGCATTCACAATTTCTAGAGGCAAGTCATTCCACTGATTAATTGTTCTAACTGTCTGGAAATTTCTCCTTAGTTCTAGGTTGCTTCTTGCTTTGATTAGTTTCCATCCGTTGCTTCTTATCCTGGCTTCAGGTGCTTCGGAGAATAGCTTGACTTCCTCTTCTATGTGGCAGCCCCTGAGATATTGGAAGACTGCTATCATGTCATCCCTTGTCCTTCTCTTCATTAAACTAGACATGCCCAACTCCAGCAACCCTTCCTTATATATTTTAGCCTGCAGTCCCCTAATCATCTTTGTTACTCTTCTCTGCACTCTTTCTAGAGTCACAACATGTTTTTTACATTGTGGCAACCAAAGCTGGATGCATTATGGATGCAATAACTGAGCACAGGGAGTCCTGATCCAGGAAAGCTCATAACTGGTGCACAAACCAGAGCCACCCAAAAGCTCTCCTAGTCATGCCTGCCTCTTCAAGCAGGAGACTTGAGTCCAGAAGTTTGCAAACTCGGTCTGAACAGGGTAGTGCAAACCCATTCAGAACTAAAGATGACAAACACTCGGATCCTAAGGCTTCATGCACCCAAAGCCACTCAGTCTTGCCAGGGTTCAGTCTAAGTCTGTTATCCTTAATCCAGAGCCCTACAGCATCTAGGCATCATGAGAAGACAGAGATAGTATCACTCAGGTTGACATACATGGAGATATAGAGCTGAGTGTTATCAGCATATTGATGATATCTCAACCCATGGTGACACTTGATCTCACCCAATGGCTTTATATAGATGTTAAACAAGAAAGGAGAGAGTAACGGACTTCCGGTCTTGTGCAGTAGCGCAGCAGCCGAGGGATTTTGGGGCTCCGTGCCCTTCGGCTGATTTTTCTTCCTATTAGGGGACCCTAAATGGGCCAGAAGTCGCCCTGAAGAGGCAGCAAAGAAGGAAGAAAGTCCTGTGGACCATGGAGAGACAGCAGTCAACCCGATCAGTCCAAGAGAAGCCTTCCAGAAACCAACAGGAGAAAGGCTAGCCTAACTTCAGAGTCTAGCCCAGTGATGGCGAATCTTTTAGAGACTGAGTGCCCAAACTGCAACCCAAAACCCACTTATGCATCGTCGAGTGCCGGGTGGGTGTGGCCCATTGGCTAGGTGTGGCCCATTGGCTGGGTGTGGCCCATTGGCTGGGCGTGGCCCATTGGGCGGGCGTGGCCACAGTGGTAATGGCAGACTGGGTGGGACTAAAAAGTTCAATCAATTCCAACTTTGCAAGATCTTTTTTTTCCCCGCGAGAAGTTGAAATTGACTGATTGAACTTTTTTTTTTGCACACGGTGGCGGAGGCCTAAAGCAAAAAGGTTTTATAAAACCCAGCTGAAGGCCTAGGACTGGGGTGATGGTGCGCGTGCCCACAGAGAGGGCTCTGAGTACCACCTCTGGCACCCGTGCCATAGGTTCGCCACCACTGGTCTAGCCCAAGCTACAAGCAACCAAAGTCAAAAAGTACAACTTTAAGCTGATTGTAAACAGCATGTTTAAATCTGGGTAAGAACATTGATTTTCTCTATCCTACTTATCAACTTTCCTGAAGAAAAAAAAATCCCAAGAAGTAAAAAAAGTCCGAAAGTGAAGGAGGGGGATCTTTCCCCCACCGTTTTACTAATGGAAGCAGCAAATTAAACCTTTTATGGAGGACCAAAACATATAGAAATGAAATGAAATGAATATAAAATCTAAATTTGGGTAGGTTTAAAATTGCTGAATGGTTAAGATTCTCATTTTAAAGGCAACTGTTTATTTTGAAAATTGAAAAATAAACTGCTAACAGCTAGTCGTGGATGAAGACTATGACAGCTATGGCTTTTATACAGGACTTGGCAAAATCTGGAAAAAAACTAATCTGTGCTTGTGACCTTCAAAGCTCTAACAATAGAGAACAGCTGTGACAAAAAAGAAAACAATCTGGGCTGCAGACAAAGAGATAATTACAAACTTCAGGAAAAAAAACACCTTTTTGAACTTTCTGGATTACAAATATCTATTTAACTGTGACTCCAAAGCTATTTGAAGAAAAAAGAAAACCTTGATTCTTGGCCATCATGGAAAATCAGAGACTTGCAGAAAGAACTTATCAAGAAAAAATAAATACCTTTCAAGAGGAGACATATGATATGCTGCAACTAATTCAAACAACAGTGATTTCAAACCACAAAGAAATCCAAAATAACTTTGAAAATATAAACCAATTCATCTCCAATTTAACTTTACAACAAAAAAATCCCAGAAAACAACAATAGAGAAGGAGCAGATAAAACAGATAACTGAACACAAATTCGAGGATAAACCTAATAAAACAAAGAAGTATGTTTTAACCTAAGTGGAAAAAATTCACAAGAAATATTGGATTTGGAAAAAACAACTTATACTTTAAGACCACAAAACAAATTTGAGAATAAGAAAAAAGATTGGACAAAATGAACTGCAGAGATGTCAGGAACACCATTAGAACTGGAGAGACAAAAAAATGATAAGACAAAAAGAGAGAAAAAGAAAGAAAAAGATTTTGAACAAACAAGAAAGGGCAAATGCCTCTTGCAAAGATATTGTACTTGATTTACCTTTTATATCTACAGTAACACAAGAATATGGAAAGATTCTTTGATTCAGCAGAACATATTTATTAAGAAAGATACTGGGCAAAAGAAAAAGGCTAAAGTGAAAATTAAGAAAATAGATGATGGGACCTACCAGAGAGTATATTTTAAAAAGAAACACCTGTTTGAATGTGGTTAAAGAAATAGAAAGATTTTGGATATGAATTTTATTTTAGGAGGGAGGAGCCCCTCAAGTAACATAGTACTCTCTTTTTCTTTTCTCTTCTTATTTTATTTCTTGATATGAGTAATATAAAAGAGTTGGAATGGCTTATATAAAGGAAATGTTTTAGATATTTAAATGTGATTGACTTTAAAAAAATTACAATGGATTAAAAAAGTGTTTTGAATAAGAGTTAAAAGACCAGATGACTAGATTTATTAAATTGAATATTTAAAGATTAAACATATTTTTAATTATGGTAAAAAAGAACGGAAATTTTTTGGAAATAAATATGTATTAGCTTAGGGGAAATATGGATTTTAAGTAGCATACTATCTTTTTATTTTTCTTTACTCTTACTCTTCTTTTTTCTTTTTCTTTTAGTCTTATTTATTCCTTAGGAAAGGTAAAAGTATTGGGATGGCTTACACGAGAAAAAATAGACTTAAATATTTAAATGTAATTAACTTTGAGAAAAATCTTAACCAGTAAGAATGTCTTGAACATTGTGGGAAAAACAAATGTAAACAAGAACTGTAAACAGGATCTATGATGAGGCAACCAGAATGACTAGATAGAAAAGAAATATTATATTGATGTGATTATTATCTGTAGAAATATTAGAAAAAAAATTATACTCAATTGTTATCTACCAAAACAACAAGAATTGTATTAACTTAAGGTTGGCAAAAGAGAACATTATGGGGAAAAGAGGAAATCAAGTAAAGCTATTATGTGGGTTATAGATCATAGAAACCAACTGTTAGTGAATGTTTTGTAAATGTAAACCCAGACAACACACTGTTTACCAAATATTAAGGTGACTATGTTAAAAAAATCAATAAAATATATTATATAAAAAAGAAAGGAGTGAGTCCTTATGGATTACAGTGCTCAAAACAAAACCTCTAACTCAGGCAGCAGATGTCTCTGAAAAGGAGAAAACTGTTTTGCATACATGATGCCCTGTGCTTAAAAAGTGCATCAAGTATCTTATTTGTATGGTTTCTTTTATTAGGTATTTTTGTGATGGGGTTGGGTTGCTGTATACTTCATCTGATAGCACAGACTCACTCTCCAAGTGACAGTGTAAGTATTTTAAGGTGCTACTGAAAATAGAATACTTGACAACATGTAAGATTATTTGAGATCTTGAGTCTGTTATAAATCAGTGGTTTAACATTAATGTTTATGTGATTTTCTGTTTCTTTTCCTTTCTTTCCTGGTGTACCTCAGGACATTCATTTACTCATTCTTCCGAAGAGGCAGACCTTTCCCGCTGAAGATAGTGTTTTTTGGTGCACTGTTCTGTATCTATAATGGCTTCCTTCAAGGCTACTACATGATTTATTGTGCTGAATACCCAGATGACTGGTGTAAAGACATACGATTTTTGTCAGGTATTGTCTGTGATGTGTAACATCTATCTGCTATCCAATTCATCCAAACTCTGCCAACATTGGGAGGAGTGGAGGGCATAGTACCTGTGAAAAATCGTAAGGCAGAAAAACAAAACAAAAGAATTTAAAAAACAACACAAAGCTTATTTTCCTGCCACATTATACTAATCAAACAAAATAGATTCTGTACTCATGGTAATAATTGTCAGAAGAGATTCTGATCACATTTCAGGTTAATATAGAAAGGGCTTTATCCCTTGAATGGAAGAAATGAGTCATGTTTAATACGAATTAGTACTTTTAAAATCTATGCTTATGGATCCAATTGCAGACGAATATACTACTAGCATTTTTCTGCATATGATATTACAGTACACTTTTCAGAATAATTTGCCCAAATATGTACCATATTAGGGAAATATGTTCATGGATATTAGGAAAAAAATAAGCTTTTTAATGCAGATTCTTATATGGAAAGTTTTGCAAAATTATGCAGCAAGCAGACAGAATGAACTTAAGGTTTGAAAAACGAGAGATGAGGAAACGTGAAACTCAGCAAAATAAAAGTTTTGCCCAATCATACTGTTGTTTTTGGGAGTAAGTTTCTATCAGACATCTGCCAATCTCACTCTTTTATATTCAATATTTTATTGCACTTATTTAATTATTATAAATATTTGGTACATTTGTAATGCAAAATGTATAGAATATTATACATACTATGTGTATCTTTTATACATAATTTTCCTTTAACTTGTAAGCCACTTTAGAAAGACTCAAAGATACTTTATCCACCAAGTGTTGAGAATAATCCTCCTGATCATCGTATACAGCAGAGGTGGGACTGGCTCAGGAATTCTGGGAGTTGAAGTCCATAAGTCATAAAAGGGCCATCGTTCGCACTGGACTGAGAAATAAGCATATTTTTACCACTTTTATTGTCACAAGACAAGCCTGAAGAAAGACTCATACATGGTCCTAGTTGGAGTTGCTTTTGAGGCATCTCTTCTGCATATTTTTCAGAAAAAATAGGGAGCATATTTTTTCAGTGGCCAAAGAATAAAGCCAGTACAATATGTGTTTGAATAATGTCTGTAAATCAAATATCTGTACTATCCAACTCATAAATATTTTTTTTCTTTAGGTCTTTTGTTGTTTTTGTCTGGCATGGGAATCAATATCCACAGTGATTTTCTTCTACGTCAGCTAAGAAAGCCAGGAGAATTCACTTATAAAATTCCACAAGGTATATAATTTTCCTTCCAAGCTTCATGAAATATAGGATAACTCTGAAAACCTTGCTTGTATCACAAGAGCCTATCCATAGGGCATGGTAAAGAAGACACTAGCTGAAAATGTGAAACCATTTAATTGGCATTTTGTTCATTAATACAGTTAATGAGATTCTCTGACAAAATATTGATCAGATGCCAGAATGAAGAATTGGAAGAGATCACACTTACTTTGGCCCTTAAGGCCTGTTTCCTACTGGTCACCATTTATTTAGCCTCTTTGGTGTGACTACAATACAATGGAAAGAGTTCATTTACTTTAACCAATGTGTGTTGTCCAACCTTTCACATGAGCTCTCAGTTTTGGTCTAATTCTTCAAGGGAGCCATAAACTACTACTGCTGCTGCTGCTGCTGCTGCTGCTGCTGCTGCTGATGATGATGATGATGATGATGATGCCTGGAGTCAGTAGTATAGAAGAGAAAGAACTGGAGAAGATAACAAAATACAAAGACCTACAAATAGAAATAGAATGTGGCAAAGGCAAGCAAGGGTAGTACCAATAGTAATAGGTGTCTTGGATGCAATCCCAAAACAACTGGAGCACCACTTGAACACCACTGGCATTGACAAATTCGCCATTAATCAATTGCAAAAGGCAGCCTTACTAGGAAGTGCTTCCATCCTACGATGATATCTGTAATACCATCAAATCAATTGGTAAAGACTCGATAGGTAGACAAAAATGTCAAATCCAGTCTGAACATCTGGCTGATTGTGCGATGATCAATAATAATAATAATAATAATAATAATAATAATAACAACAACAACAACAACAACAACAATCTGCTGTTTCTCAAAAGTATTTAAACAAATCTGTTTTATGCAGGAGGATTGTTTGCATATGTCTCAGGAGCAAATTTCTTTGGGGAAATCCTTGAATGGTTCGGGTATGCTATAGCGACCTGGTCTCTACCGGCCTTTTCCTTCGCATTTTTTACACTCTGCTTCATTGGACCACGTGCTTATCATCATCATAGGTATTTATGCTATATAAACTATACAATGTGGTATCTGACAACATTCTAGGAAATAATATTGCTCAGAAGCAGGAAATAATATATATATGTAAGCCTTTCTATATCAAACTAGAATCGCTCTGTGAGTTTATTTAAAGCAACCCATTTTTGTTTTTCAGGCTTCTGCTTAAGTCTGAAAAAGAGTACCATAAACTAAAGCAATTCTTAAAGCCGTTGCATTCCTTCTTTCATTCTGCTCTCACTGATTTTACACTCTGTGCTTATGCTCTTTTTCCTTTTCCAGACATACATTGTGACGGTGTGTACGTTTTTTTCTGGGAAACAGATTAGGCACATTCTCAGCCACATCTCCATTCTATTTTTATTGCATTGTAAATTGCTTTGATGCCACTTTTCACTAAAATCCCCTTCTCCCTCACAAAAGTAACTTGCATGCAGTTACGCTTCACTGCAGCTTGCTCAAATATTTGTCTCATAGAATTGTCAAACTAGATAAACAGTAAAAGATAAGTAAGAAGATGCCCATTTATTTGAAATATTAATACTCTGCCTTTGATCCAAATTAACTCCAGTGCAGTAAAATAATCTCCTGTGGACACTTAAAATGACAAATGCAGCTGCAGATTGTAGTTCTGTTTCTATGGGCACTGTAACCCTGGGGAAATTTGTCTGTGCTCCTCTCTTTTAAGAAATCTAAGTGTGAGCTGTGTACAGCACAGGGCACACGAGAACATATGTGTCTCTGTGTATTTTATTCTAGAAGTCAGACAGCAGGTCTATGGAAATCTGTGTGTTTTTAGATAGGAATTTTGTAGCTGCCTTAGTTACTGTCAAACCACATAAGATAGTGGGTTTATCTAGTTATGGCCTTCTACCAGTGAATTAGAAACTGCTGAAGCATCAGATTTTCCCATCTACCCTTGTTCTCTTGCATACCACACAGATCTGCTTCACTTGTGTAATTTATAGGACCTAGCACACAGCACGTCTATTGTCTTTCTTACTTTGGCCCTGAAACTCCAAATGTTGAATCGTATATGTCATATAAATATACACAATGCTTTCTGTAGGCGCCACACTGAATAGACAAGTTAGGAAATTAGAACGAGAACTTTATTTTCTTTTCATGTTAGCCTTAAATCTGGAACTTTTGTAAACATTCAACAAGGAAATTAATTGGGATATATAACTTTTTATATTTTATAATATATTTTATATTTTATTCTGTTACTTAAGATTCATTTAGCCAAGCATAAAAACCGTATAGAAAGTACCTCGAAATACAGGTAGTCCTTAATTTACAACCACTCATTTAATGACCATTCAAAGTTATAACAGCACTGAAAAAGGTTTCTTATGACCAGTTCCCACAATTATAATTGCTGCAGCATCTCCATAGTCATGTGATCAGGCTTTGGGTGGTTGGCAAACGGCATGTATTTACAATGGTTGCAGTGTCCCAGGGTCCTGGGATTGTCATTTGCTATCGTGCTAGGGAGTTCTGACAAGCAAAGACAATGGGGAAGTCAGATTGGCTTAACCCAGGGTTAGGCAACCTTGGCTCTTTTATGACTCGTGGACTTCAACTCCCAGAATTCCTGAGGCAGCTATGCTGGCTCAGGAATTCTGGGAGTTGAAGTCCATGAGTCATAAAAGAGCCGAGGTTGCCTAACCCTGGGTTAACCACATGATTTACTTAAAAGCTGTAGTGATTCGCCTAGCAACCATGGTAACAATGGTTGTAAAATGGGCCCTGACTCATTTAACAACTGTCTTGCTTAGCAGTAGAAATTTTGAGCTTAATTATGTTCATACATTGAAGATTACTTGTGCTGACTCTTCCACTGTTTTATTCTTGGACTTCTCATGATGGATAAATAGTGCTGAAAATAGATCTCTTGACATTAACATCCATGGTAATTTATATAATGATGATCAACATTTACCCGCTAGTTCAAAGGTAATAGGGGTTCTCTACAGATAATATGAGTTGAAGTCCGACCCAGCTGGAAGACACCAAATTTTTAAATCTTGTCTTCCAGAAATATTGAGTCTTTCTAAAGTGGCTTACAAGTTAAAGCAAAACTATGTATAAAACTCACACAAAGTATCTGTAGTATTCTAGAAATGTTTCATTACAAATTACCAAATATTTATAACAATTGAGAAGTGCAGTAAAATATTGACTATAAAAGAGTGTGTTTTAACATCATCGGAATTGTTTCCATAGTGGCAGATGGTCCTTTGTTAGAGAGAAGGACATAAAATTAACCTTTCATTTATCATTTAAATGTTAACATCCTTTGAATCCATGTATGACGCATTTTTGAAGAGCCATATATACCAGAAGAGATTTGAGAAATGAGATTCTACCTTCTTAAAGCAGGATTATAATTTAGGGCACATATCTGCATTTTCATGCTTGTGTATGTTTTCTTATAGGTATTATCTGAAGACATTCACAGCCTATCCAAGATCAAGAAAAGCCTTGATTCCTTTTATATTTTGAAGAATAGTTATCAGAATGGATGGGTATTAAGTGTTCTTTATTGTTTACATAAAAGTGCTATTATTGTTAAGTATAATGTATTAAAACACCCTTGAATCATTTCCTTTTGTATGATAGAATTCTTTTGGCTCTTAAGAGTATTCAGCATTTAATGTTCTCCTACCTGCATTTCACAAGTTGGCAATCAGTGCTTGGTTGTTTGGGAAATTGGACTGTTATCACTATCTGCTTTTCACAGGAAGCAGTGAAAATTAAGAACAGTTCAGTTAAGAAAAAAAGGGCTTGTTAGCTGTAAGTCTATTGCTCTGTTTCTGTGTTCTTTCTCATAAAGACAAAGAAAACATTCCATACAAAAGTGATACTCAGTTTCAAGGGTATACGAATGCATCTTTTTGTATTTTTTCAAATGAGTTGTGGTTGTATATAATTATCATCAAAAATGAAATGTAAGTCACTCAGAAATAATTTAACAGGTCATGAGCTGAATATGAAATCAAATAAAATTCAGACTTTTTGCATGAAACAGAAAAAAATGCACTTGTGATTTGTGGTTTTGATGATTAGAAAAAAATGGATAATAGAAAAAAAGGAATAAGAATTAATATTGTACATGTATTTATATTTCCTGCAAAGAAAATTGAAAGGTTCTTCTGTTTTTTTATTCTTTCTTTCTGCGCTTTTGCTTTTCTTTCTTTCTTTCTTTCTTTCTTTTTCTTTCTTCCTTCCTTTCTTCTTTCTTTTATTTCTTTTCTTACTTTCTCCTCTTTATTAGTTTGTTATGTTATGTTGCGTTCATTTTTATGTGCTTTGTAAAACTTAAAAAAATATTTTTAAAAAACTACACAAAGCATCCTATCACTTTTTAAAAAATCCATTTATTTTACCTGTCAAATCAAGAAATAGGTATCCATCTCCCAACTTCTTATCCAGATAGGTATTTTGTGTTAAAAGCTTAATATCTGGTGACTGAATGGATCCATGTGTTCAATAGCACAGAAATGGTTCTTTATTGCCCTTTCTTGGTTTTCTTTTGCTTTTCAATTTAGTCTGCGCCCCTGGAATTTCTGCGTAGTTCCCATACATCCAATTCTGACTTAGCTCAGTTTCAGAGATAGGAAAGATCAATTGTTGCAATTGTTGGCCAAGTCATAAATAGGCTCAAACTGCAAAAAAAGAAAAGAAAGAAAAAGAAAAGAAAAGAAAGGAAAAAAGAAGAACAGGAGTTGTTCAGTGTCCCTAACAGCAAAATTCCTATGCCTCTGAAGAGGCACCTAAATTTCTGTGTATATACAGCATACAACAGCTCTGGCTCCGTAGATCAGTTGACTAAAAAATAAGGAAGAGTAGAGATGACAAAGTCCAGCATCTTCTCTGTGTCCAGAACAGCTGATCCATGTCCTTAGATCCTGTACCAGAGGTGTCAAACTGCTGGCCTGCGGGCCGGTTGTATCATATGGAGGCCGCGCCCACCCCAGCTCTGGCAATGCAAAAAAAGTCACAATACGTGGCGACACGTCACGTGACGTGGCGAGTATGACACCTGTGCTGTAGTGTGTTTGCATGATTCTCCTGTGAGCTTGCTTCCAAATGAACTGAGTACTACTATAAGGCGGATGCTAACTATTAAGGTTAGACAGTACAGCTTATTCTTTAAATAATAAATTCCAGCTGTTTTCCTGTAACCTTTAATTTTATGTAACCTTCTGCAATATGAGCAATTATTCTTGTATGTTTCTATGTAGGCATATTTAAAAGAGGCAAAGGCACTTTTCCTGCAACTTTGCATCATCGTTGTGACAGTTTGGCTTTTCAAAATCACCTTTAGACTACATACTGGATTATCTTCCTGTCCTGCTTGGCATTATGTAGGGAGGGGTTTGTGAATCAAAACATGAATCCTAGATTCCACATAATTCTGGTTCTACAGCAGTGTTTTTCAAACTTGGCAACTTTAAGATGTGTGGACTTCAGATCCCAGAATTTCTAAATCCTTCTGCAATGTATATATTGTCACTTCCTTGCTGATAGAGAGAAGAAGTGTTATAAAAAGAAGGGATGTCAAAGAGATAACATTTTCCCCCTTTTGACACTGCCTCCATCCACCATCTGTATCAGCCTTCTCCATCAGGCAGTTCCCATAGATTTCTCCTTTCACAAAGGAATGCAATTAGCTTTATATATTTATTCATTTAAATAAAGCCATTTATTTATTTATTTATTTATTTATTTAATAATGATTGCATTAATTCCTTTATTTATTTAATAAACTGGCTAATCCATTCCTCCTGTGAACGGTGTACACAAGGCACTTAAAATAAAATAATATAAAGATCATGCAAAACAAAGTCCCAGAAAAAGAATACCCACACCACTGAAACCTTAGTAGGGCAATGTTAATTTTTTTAGTTTCTTCTCCAAGAACTCAGATTCTAAAACATTTTTTTCCTGAACTTAATTTTCTGCAATGTAGGATTTTAAAAAATTGGAGCAGAGGGGGGGAGGGGAATGTTCTGCTTTTGGATTTCAGCTGTAATTCTCTTCATTTGTTGATCTCTATGCTTGACAGAAGTCTGTTTTGACAGATCTCAAAAATGCGCTTTCAGAAATATGTGATAAAATTCCATGCATGTATAGATATATAACTATTATCATATTATTTCTTTCTGGTCTGTCAACCCTGTAAGGTAGACCAAACTATGAAACAGACAATGTGTAGGTTCAAAGCTACTTTTATTAGAACAGACTCAGGCTCAACCCTTCCAAGACTGAGTGGCTGTGGCTGCTGGCACCGCGGCATAGTCAGCTGACTCCATCGCTGACTATAGGGGGCGAAATTCTGGCCCCCTCGGAGAGGGTGCGCAATCTGGGGGTCCTCCTGGATTCGCGGCTGACGCTGGAAGACCAGTTGTCGGCCGTGACCAGGGGGGCGTTTTATCGGGTACGCCTGATCCACCAGTTGCGGCCTTTTCTGGACCGAGACGCCCTGCNTATACCTGTACATTTGGTTTTTCTTGCCTAAATGTAGAACCTTACTTTTTTCACCATTGAATTTCATTTTGTTAGATAGCGCCCAGTGTTCAAGTCTGTCCAGGTCCTCCTGTATCTTAAGCCTGTCTTCTGGAGTGTTGGCTATTCCTGCCAGCTTGGTGTCATCCGCAAATTTGATGAGTTCTCCATCTATCCCCTCCTCCAAATCGTTGATGAAGATGTTGAAGAGCACTGGGCCTAGAACAGAGCCCTGGGGCACCCCACTACACACTTCCCTCCATGTAGATGCATTTCCATTGAGGACCACATGCTGAGTATGGCCGGTCAGCCAGCTACAAATCCATCTGGTGGTGATGCTGTCTAACCCATATTTTTCTATCTTATCGAGTAGTAGGTTGTGATCTACTTTATCAAATGCCTTACTGACGTCCAAGTAAATTATATCCATAGCATTCCTCTGATCCACTAATTTTGTCACTTGGTCAAAGAATGCAATAAGGTTTGTCTGGCATGATCTGTTTTTGACAAACCCATGTTGGCTTTTAGTAGTGATTTTGTTTGCCTCTAGGTGTTCGCTGATTCGTTGTTTGATTATCTTTTCCAAAATCTTCCCAGGTATTGAGGTCAGGCTGTAGTTCCCATCTTTTTTGAAGATGGGAACTACATCAGCTCTTTTCCAGTCCTCTGGTAGTTCCCCAGTGCTCCAAGATCTTTGAAAAATATAGTTCAGTGGTTCTGAGATCACATCTGCCAGTTCCTTGAGAACCTTGGGGTGTAATCCATCTGGTCCTGGTGATTTGAACTCGTCTAGGCTGGACAGGTGCTCAGTTATCATTTTCTTGCCTATCTTAACTTGTGTTTCTATACTGTTTTTTATGGCACTATTTTTGATAGGTTTTTTAAACACATGAACTCAGACATTATGCTGTTTGCTAAATATTGAGAATGTTATTTGAAAAAACCCTAACCTCAACCCCAACCCTAACCCTAACCCAAATCCCAACCCCAATCCCGACTCCACCTTATTCCTAATCCTATAAAAACTAATAATATATATATATATATATATATATATATATATATATATATATGTGTGTGTGTGTGTGTTTTCGTAGATTTTGACGGGTACAGGTATGCAGGTCTTGGCGTATTCGGGTCTTTTCAATCTTACACAGGAAAAGACCCGAATACGCCAAGACCTGCATATGGGTATGTCTGGTTGAAAAGAACTAAAAAGTTCGAAATGGCTATTCCGTTTCTCCCTTAATTCTTTGTTAGCAATCCAAATTTTGAAAAACACATATGATGTCGCAGTTGCGACTGCTAAGCCTGTGGATGGCTCTAGTTTGAGCTGATACAGGCAAAAGATTCCTTTCTCCCATATTTGGGCCGACACGGTGCACCAAACTCAAGATAATTCTTCTCCCCTGTCTCATAGCTGACAAAGTGAGAAAGAACCTGTGGCCTAGAGGTTAATACATCTGCCTAACATGCAGACAGCCCAGGTTCGAATCTCAGAAGGGTATGTCTAAAAAGTTTGAAATGGCTATTCCAGTTCTCCCTTAATTCTTTGTTAGCAATCCAAATTTTGATATATATATATATATATATATATATATATGTAGGTAGATCTTTGGATATTCGGGTTTTCTCCCGAGTAAAATTGGAAGTGTCTTGGTGACGTTTCGACGAAGTCACATTCGTCATCTTCAGGCTGGTGTCTTCAGCTTCGTGCTTCTGGGAGTAGTGTGCGATCGCAGCTGTTTCTTCCTTTTAACTGCAGGGGGATTTGAGATGGTGAGCTTCATTGCTGTTGTTTGGCTTCGTGTTCGTGGTCGTGCCACATCTTTATGGTGGGTGTCAGTTTGCTTCATGTATGGATTGGAGGGGTTTAAAGTGGCTAATGATGCAGCTGTGGACTGGCTTTTAGGTTGTGGTCGTGCCTCATCATCTGTGTGGGTTTGGGTTTGCTTTTTGCGTGGATGTGTGGTGGTGACCTCCTGTGTGGTTTT